TATGAAGTTTTTGTTGGTTTTTGCTAGCCCAGTCAGTTTTTCAAAATAAAATGTTTTCCTTAGAACGGAAACTCAGGTTCCCGCTATTAAAAAAACTTAAAATAGACAAGAAGACTCGTTGCTCTATTTTGCGGCTGCACCACCGACCCTATCAACATCATTGCGAATATCACGGTCAATTTCAACCTAATGGATATGTGAGAAAACTCCATTTTTTTTACTTCTGGTCAAGAGAAAAAAATCTGAGAAATGATAAATCGTAAAAATATAGATTGGTAACCTTGTGCTTATAAGCAAGTGTTTAAAAATACAAAAAAGGAACAATTCATCAAATTAGTTAAATGCGACTAAAATTGTTTCAAACTTTTCAGGGTAATTAGGCGGAAAAGTGACGGTTTCACGAAAGTAGCTTTACATTTAAAAATGCTAACTCATCAGAGAATTAAAAACAATTAAGCAAGGCCTCATTTATACACGATTTTACAAATAAAAACGCTCTCAGTTTGTCAAATAAAAAATTTGAAGACAGTTTGCTTAAAAATCTTGATCTGCGTATCACCTACAGCCAACTAAAACTTTGGCAAGATTCAAGCAGTCATTGTAATTTCAGTATAATGGGAGGCGAAGTCACTGCTACTCACCCTTTCTTAACTGGTTTTCATAGAATAGGCAACCTGCCACACAATCTCCAATCGGTTATCGGTTCATCTTTGAACAGTACACCTTTCTCAAAAAAAACTCTTAAGTGATATCTAAAGTGCTCCAAAAAGATCGCTAGACAAAAACAAAGCCATTTTTTTTAGTTAATTGAATTACTCAAAAACGAAAATATGGCTGTAAAATGGGGAAAATGAGCACTCTTTCAAAAAATGTTGAATGGTTGAGAATTGAGTTTGAAGAGAAAATTGTTTCTATCAAGACTTCAATTTAAAAAAGAAAATATATTGCAACAACGATTGTTCTCTGGTTCATAAAACCTTTTATGAGCTTAGTAATAATTCCTATGCTCACTACTACATCCTTTACTGAAAAAAATGTCTAGGTAAAATTGGCATGAAATGCATTCAAACGCCTTCAAAAATTTTGGAAATCCAATGGTAATTTCTACAGATCACAGTCACGATGAATTAAAGAAAAGTTTATGATTAAAGATAAGCTCTTGGGTTGACAGCTTAGGGGCTACAATGAAACACTGGATAAGGATTCTTGGATAGCAGTAGCATTTGCCTGAAGAATTTTAAACACTAGAGAAATAAGCAAATTGACAAACTAACTGGAACTAATATGGGTTGCATCGGCAACGGAACAGCTTAAAACTATTTGAATGATTAGAAATTTGAAAAACTGACTAATCATAAAACTTTTCTTGAATTGTAACTTGAAAACAACTCAAACAAAACTATGTAAAATAGTTCAACTCGCCGAGTAAACAGAGTGTGAAACTTCAACAATGAAATTGAAAATATTATGAGTCCAAATAAAATCGCCTATTTCAAAAACGTAAGAATTTTGGGCGGAATAAAGAGAAAAAATCATTACACAACGAACGGTCGTTTTTTGCAATTATTCCGAAGTACAAATCAACCATAAACCACATGACACAAACCACACGACACAAACCACTCGTATGATGCAAACCACTCGTAATTCAAACAAGAATGCTGCAAGGGCACTTGCAATCTTTTGGATCTACAAAAATTCACTTTGAATCTTTTTATTTTCTCAAAAAGTTATTCTAGTTTTTTTACTCAGTAGTTTTAGAAGTTTTTCCAGAGATGCAGCCAACTGACAAAAACAAGTTCTCAAAAAACTATTATGTTTTCTTTCCTCATTAGTTTTAGTAGTTTACCCAGAGATGCAGCCAGCTGGCAAAAACAAGTTCATTGCTTCTTAATCTACAAGGAAAGGAAAAAACTTTCTAGACAACTAAGTATCTAGAGAGCCAGAAACTAATTAACAAAGAAAAAGATGATATAAATTTAGGATCGTCTCCATTTTTGTTTGCCGGCCGTAACTCGATTATAACTGAATTTTAAAAAAATAAAAACAACAAACCACTGAAAGAGGCCAAGCATCCAACAGTAACAGGTGAAAAATTTGATGCCTCCATCAAAATAATCCAACATGACCAAAAAAAGGATGCTTACCTCTTCAATTAAAAAAACTCATAGTACCGACCCTTTGTTCTCTCTTCCTGAAACTCCTCCTCGTGACACATCAGTCACGGTTTGGGATGAAGAACTCAGCGGAGGGCAACTGGTGGACTCACTTATACAAGGAAACTTATCTACTAGAAACTGCTCAGAAATCATAAAAGCTGGTAAAAACTTGGTTGCGACAATCACTCAAAAATTACCAGAACTCAAATGAACGAATGACGAAAAAAACTGTTTTTGAAGGTCGCCTCGCCTAAAAAAATTGTGGGGTGGAACGAAATGGATCCTTTTTTGTATTGACAGCTTCTCTAAGCTTCCTTCCGCAAAAGTGTTGGTTAAGCAACACTTCGACATAATCAGTTATAAGTTTCTCGTCCAATTACTTGGCTGTCATGGTTTCTCAAAATTGAAGTGGATACTGGGATGTGTTTTCTCTGAAACAATTCTGCAAAAAGAATAAAAATAATCTAATTTTGAATAACGTGCTTGCTCATAGATCCAATGGACTATTAGAACGACTAAATTACAAAATAAAAGCTAAAAGGTACATAATGCTGACTAACGAATCAAAACTATCTTCAATTTGGGAACTTGAAAAAACCATTTGACATCTACGATTGACAAGTCAGCCTTCCATAGGGTGCACAAACTTCCATAAAACATTATAATAGATCGCCAAACACTTTTTGGAAAATTGTGATCACACGCAAATAATTTAGATAAAAAGAAGATATTTATGCCAATCGCATGAGATCAGGAGTGGAAGGAGAATGACCAAATAGAAGACAGATACCTACAAAAGAGCGCAGAAGAACAAAAACGTTACGAGAGTTACCGACGGTTAAATCAGCGGTCACCAAGCCGATATCCGCATTGTCGTACCCTTCAATAGAGTAAGTACGCGGTATAAGCAAACCAACAATCGAAACGAGAGACTACTGGTTTTCAGATCTTTAAAGGGGAAATTTCATCCCACTCTAATCACACAATAACACTCAAAATATCCGATTTGGCATTCAGAACGACAAAATTTGATTAAGAAATTGAACCACTGGTTAACAATTTTGAATTAGAAGCCAAAAGCCAATATTTTCCCTGCGAGAAGGTAGGCTCTGGATTTGCGTGATCCTCAACCAACCGATAGTCGGAGCTAGCCTCGTCGAAAAAGGTAGAAAACCAAATAAGGATTGCTCATTTTTCAATGTTTATCTTATTTTTTTCTCAGACACATGGTCGTCCTGAGGCTTGGACCACTGGGTTGAAGTCTTCTACGAGTATTTGCTGGAAGACTCTTATAATAAATCCGGTTTCAAAACTTTTTTCAAGGAAAGCTACTTCCAGACAGTCATTCTTCCAGACAATCAGACGACATACGACGATCAGAGGACACCTTCAAAGTGTACCGTTGATGACTTCATAATAGTAGAGAGCTCTCCAGAAAAAAAACAGATAATCAATGATCCAGCCAATTCATCGAAGAGCTGTTTCAGAATCCGAAGAAATGTGGGACATCCAAAATTTAGAAGAAAGTCATTTTATCATTAGAATCGCAACGACAAATATAGTAGTCATAGATTAAGAAGAACCCGAGCGAACGTTGTTAAAAGTGATCAAGACGATCATGAAGTGGGAGAAAGTTCAATAAAGCAATTTCTTTAACAATTCTCCCTCTGTTTTTCTAACTCCGATCTGCGACTGATATAGAAATTACGGTAGATGCAGATACTTTCCATGCAACCTATCAAACTGGTCATTATCAAACTGGAACCTTGCGCTTCCTCCTTTTACAATTGGTGCAATTCTAGATTTCTTAAAACTTCTTTTGAGCTTTAAGCAATCGCTAGAGTACCAATATGTATACCTTTTTTCACCAATCTGTTTCAACTACTTTCTTTTCAAAACTGTTCGCTGAATATACGCACACTCTGTAGACACCTGTATGAATTGCCAGGAGCCTGGAAACTTTGTGCACGTAGTCTCTACTTTGAGAGCATATTGTAAAAATCAGTTGTAAATTCTGCTGTGTTTATATTAAGTTGCGATTTTTTTAAACACTTTCTGAGTGGTGAAAGAGGATCGGAGTATGAGTGTTATGTTGACTACCATTCATTGAGACAGAAGGAAGTTTTTCCCGTGTTGGGGAAAGTTGTGAATTGTGGTTTCAGTTAGTTTAGTTTCACCTTCATTTCCTAATTTGATGCATGCCATTTTTGTGTCTAAGTGGTTCTCCTTTAGACACTAATTTCTCCTCTAGACTATCAAACAACATAATAGCCATAACGTGAAGTTTCCTAAGACAAAATGTGCCTTGAGAAAAACTTCTTTTGCATTCAAAAAAATTATAAAAAA